GCTACTGCTAAGGCTACACCAATTGAAGGTCAATAACAACATTTTAATAAACCTATATAAAAGAGTATCTTTCAACACTGTGTTAAGATTACATTTAACAGGCAGAGGCAATAGCTGAAATATTTTCGGGAAAAACGCTATTCTTGGCGGTCTTACTATGTAAACGTATTAAGATAATTCAGTGCATTGGTTTAATATACATTTCGCTCATATCAAAACAAATATAAAAATGGAATAATGCAATGAGAAATCAATGCTGGGATGGAGATCTTGGCCAAACATTGATAAAAACATCGGTTTTGGTTCCCCGGCGGGTCTGTTTTCAGTGTAAGTCCCCTTTTTTTAGCTTGCAAGAGGCACAACATACGGTTTTCAAGAACAGACATCTTTTCAGGGTTACCAGCGGAGAAAAAACAAGAAAAAGCGCGCCGTCTTCTCCGATCTAGTTCAACTGCGTCACATCACACTATTTGCCTCATGGATAAAGTACGCGCGTCAGCTAATGAATAGAGGGCGCTAGCTTACATATTTGGTTATCAAATTGGTTATTGTTATAGACAGGTAGGCCACCTAGGCCTAGGGTCTAGGCCTAGGCTTGGATTTTTGTTCTACTATTTCTCATCATTTAATTATTTTTAATAGTTATGTTTGTTGTAGCCTCGTAAATATGTTAAAATATATGGCTCGCACTTTTGGGGAATGCCAGGTAGCGCGTTAAATCATGCCTCGCACTTTTCGTGAATGGTAAATCGATGCCTCGCATGAATCGTCATTATGCCTCGCTGCCTTGCATGCCTCGCTGCCTCGCACTTTAGTATTACCCTATTAAGTCTATAGGCCTAGCCCTAAATGTTTGTTTAGCATTAAAATACAGGAGGTCAACGCTAGACTATCCTAGGCTAGGCCTACCATCTACTAGGCCAGGGTATATTAATCCATTTAATTTGCTAATTTTTCTAATGTTAAATGGTTCTATTTTGCTGATCTAGGATTAAAGAATGGAGGATGGTTAGGTAGTGTATACAGGTTGTTCATGGAGGCCTCGACCCCAGATCCACATTCTGAGGTCTGTTAATGATGTGGAAGTCTCATACAAATAAATAAAATAATTCTGGCTTTTCTGTTGACGGATAATATCAACAAGACCAGATGAAATTATTTAATCATATAATGATAATGATTACATAAACAGCAGCACAGTATCAGTAGTATTGTCTAATATGAGAGAAGAGAGTCCATGGCTGGGGTGAATGAGGGTGGGAATGAGATGAGCTTAATTGTAGGTTATTTGGTAAAATGTAAACCACTCCACAAAGCATCTTGAGTTTATAAATGTTAACTTTGTTTCTATTACTTGGTATAAAGGGATTGTCTTGTCTAGGCCTATGTATTTTTGTGGGAAAGGTTATCCACCCTATTCACTTCTCCCCATCCTAGATCTATTCTTTGCTTGAGTTATTTAAATAGCTGTTGTTGCTGCTTGATTGATTGACAAAGATTCTGAAGACTACCGGTACAGTAATATTAGCACAACAAGTGATTGTGGTGTTAAGGGAATGGTCTTATAATCAATACATATGATTGAATCTTTGCAAGATATAAAAGAAAATTGCACTGATATGTACGTATAATATTTCTTTTATGATACTTCTTGTGATTATTTTTGTGTGATACTTTCTATGATGTATTTTTTAAAGTACAATGATTGATATTGATTTGTTTTAAGTTTTATGTGTTATTATTTTTACAGGGCAATGAGACGCCACGTGACCTCTATATACAGAATGAATGTGAGGAGTATGATTCTAGAAATAGAGAAAAACACAAGGAAGAAGTCTTGCAACTTCTGCAAGGTGAGCAGTTAATACGATTTAATTATTCATGTTATTGTTTATGATTAAGTAGTTTAATGTAATTTTATCTCCTGCTTATATTAATTGGATAATAATTTCTGCTGTAAATAATGTCTTGCAGTCAAGCTCATTGTACATCACAGATGTTTACTCGTTCATTTATTTGTCACAAAAAAGAAACAGCAAGGAACAGCACAAACAAAGATGAGACAGGACACACCAAAAGTGAACTTTTAAAGTTGGGGTCCTTTACAGAAAGCAAATACTTACTATAAAGGAAATATTTAACATTCAAAGTTAAAATATTCCTCAAGCCCATGTACCTACCTCAGTATTTCATATCACCCTAATAATTTTGAGTCTAGAATATCATAAGAATCGACCTCTAAATGTTATTATTATTTGTTTAATTATTTGTTTAATACAATATTGTTGATGATGATTATGACAATAACGGTGAAAATGATAATATTTTTAAGACAATAAGCAAGTCATCTTATTTTTTATAAATGATTATTTCCCTATATCCATTTCCATTATAATAATATTTGAAATTTTATAATAATGAGTCATTTACCATAGGATCATGTTTTCTTAATTATTTTAACTTCTTAAAAGATTTTTGTTCAGACATCATCTTTTTATTTTTATTTCTCTATGCTTTTATGAATAAACAATAATATATGGCTTTTGTACATTAGGCTTTGAAGTTCCAGAGGCAATATTAGCCAGAGGAAGTGAGGCTCTGAAGGTTTTTAATGAGGAGTTACAAGAAGGAAGGATCACAGTAAACCATGCACGATTAATGGTGACTGGCAAAGAGGGGGTGGGAAAGACTTGTTTGGTAAACACTCTGCTTGAAAGAACGTAAGTTTCCGAAGTGCTGTATCTGTCAATGGATTTCCAATATAAATGTTGCTGTATTGTATTTTATTTGCTTTCTATATATTTAAAAAAAAAATACAGTATGATGCCACGTAAATATTATTGTTTCAAACCTGCACGTACTTAATTGTCATTACCCATATATCCAACAGCATGTTTTGTTGTATATATTGTACTATAGAATGTATGTCGTAATTTATATCGAACACATCCTTTATATTTATATGTTTGACTTCTTAAAATTGTTCATGCGATGTAATATTCAAATGTAGTTTCCTTTCTGACAATAAAGTTATCTTGTATCTACTCTTCCATGTAACCACAACCCAATCATGGCACTTAAATACTACAATATGTACATATACAATTCAACAATTCAAGCAGTAATTACACTGCTCTTTCCACAGATTTAATGAAGAAGAACCATCGACTGATGGAATAGTGTTGACGACTGCTTTTCAAACTACTGATATAAGTAGTGTGTGGAAAGAGGCAGAGGACATGGACGGTATGACAAGAAACAATTTAACTTTAAAATCCTATTCTCATTTGTTGTGACTCAAGCTTTGATGAATTTCTTTATCTTTTATAGAATGTGATCGGATCAAAGATATATTTGATAATGCATTAGAAAGTAAAGTTGCTGAGAAACTTAAACAAAAAGGAAGCCAAGTAGAGGCAGCTGAACCAGTACAGGCATCAGCAGGAAAGTCAACACCTGTACCTCCACTTGTACACACCCCTAAAAAGTCAAATGTCTTTGTACGTGTATTTCAGCGGTTAACTAAAAAAGATAGTCGCAGGAAACCAGTTACCTCCTCTACACCTGTATTGCCATCTGTGCCTGTTCCAGTTGCGGTAGGACATAATATAGTAATAGTATGTGTGTTCAGAGTGTCTTCAACAGATGATCAGATAAATTATTACAACTGTGGGATTTAATGACACGTTTTTAGTAGATTTGCATTATTTCAGCCTTCGTCACTGAGACTCAATGTCTCCCACAGCATGCATTGTTGTTCTTCTGTATATTGCCTTGTAATATATTTCAAGTTAAAATAATTGTGTACACCTCTGTCACTATATACCTCTGGTTAACAATTGATTTGATTTAATTTATTTTAAAATTCTGAACAAAACAATGTACTGTATGTAAACACTCATTTTTTCTTGAGCCATCAGAGCAATACAGTGTAAACATAATTGTTTTTGCCCCAAAACATTTACTCAGAAATTCAAATATTGTATATCATTGGGGATAGTTTTCCTATTTTATTCCTAGTGGGGGACTTCTTTGCAAA